ATATATATATATATATATATATAGCAGCGAGGAGGGACGACAGAGAATGCGGGTAGATTGATACAGCACTGTTTCGGGCTTATTCTGCCTTCATTCAGCCAATCATAACCCTGACCACCAGCAGCTGAGACCAGAAACACAAACATGCGCACAGACGCACCTGGCGCAGTCGGTCCACCACTGAGGCCTACCAGATGGGTCATAAGCACTTCATCGAACCGAAGTTCATCAGTGCCTCGCCACCTGTCATTCTCTGTCGCTGCAGATCGGGTATTTATCAATCAGGAATGGGCGCACACCGATCTATTGGCTTCACAAAGCAAACAAGCTCCGTATGTGTGGCAAAGGTCACGAACAGGCAACCAATTACCAGGCCGAAGTCGGCCAAGTCATAATAGCAGCGAGGAGGGACGACAGAGAATGCGGGTAGATTGATACAGCACTGTTTCGGGCTTATTCTGCCTTCATTCAGCCAATCATAACCCTGACCACCAGCAGCTGAGACCAGAAACACAAACATGCGCACAGACGCACCTGGCGCAGTCGGTCCACCACTGAGGCCTACCAGATGGGTCATAAGCACTTCATCGAACCGAAGTTCATCAGTGCCTCGCCACCTGTCATTCTCTGTCGCTGCAGATCGGGTATTTATCAATCAGGAATGGGCGCACACCGATCTATTGGCTTCACAAAGCAAACAAGCTCCGTATGTGTGGCAAAGGTCACGAACAGGCAACCAATTACCAGGCCGAAGTCGGCCAAGTCATAATAGCAGCGAGGAGGGACGACAGAGAATGCGGGTAGATTGATACAGCACTGTTTCGGGCTTATTCTGCCTTCATTCAGCCAATCATAACCCTGACCACCAGCAGCTGAGACCAGAAACACAAACATGCGCACAGACGCACCTGGCGCAGTCGGTCCACCACTGAGGCCTACCAGATGGGTCATAAGCACTTCATCGAACCGAAGTTCATCAGTGCCTCGCCACCTGTCATTCTCTGTCGCTGCAGATCGGGTATTTATCAATCAGGAATGGGCGCACACCGATCTATTGGCTTCACAAAGCAAACAAGCTCCGTATGTGTGGCAAAGGTCACGAACAGGCAACCAATTACCAGGCCGAAGTCGGCCAAGTCATAATAGCAGCGAGGAGGGACGACAGAGAATGCGGGTAGATTGATACAGCACTGTTTCGGGCTTATTCTGCCTTCATTCAGCCAATCATAACCCTGACCACCAGCAGCTGAGACCAGAAACACAAACATGCGCACAGACGCACCTGGCGCAGTCGGTCCACCACTGAGGCCTACCAGATGGGTCATAAGCACTTCATCGAACCGAAGCTCATCAGTGCCTCGCCACCTGTCATTCTCTGTCGCTGCAGATCGGGTATTTATCAATCAGGAGTGGGCGCACACCGATCTATTGGCTTCCTTGCTGCTATTATGACTTGGCCGACTTCGGCCTGGTAATTGGTTGCCTGTTCGTGACCTTTGCCACACATACGGAGCTTGTTTGCTTTGTGAAGCCAATAGATCGGTGTGCGCCCATTCCTGATTGATATATATATATATATATATATATATATATGATAGTGGGCGCTCACCGATCAGGTTACGGAACATGCTCGTTCCGTTGTGCCTTGGGGCTCATACTTAAACCCTCGCAGGCAGTCGCACAGCCATTCCGGTCTCCCTTGTCTTTGTCGGTATCACCTTCTCAACATATATATATATATATATATAGAGGCAGAATAGCATAACCGACAAAGACAAGGGAGACTGGAATGGCCATTTCTAACTTATTTGTCTTCGTCAGCCAGCCATACCCACGCCCGAAGTGTGGAACATCCGAGCCTCGAACTCGTGACCTGTTGGTTTAGAAGTCAAGGCCTCTACTCACCGGGCCACGAGCCCGTTGCCCTGTGGGTTTTCGATCAGGAATATACAATGTTAGGGGGCGCTCACCGATCGTTCATACGGAACTCACTCGTTCCGTTGTGCCTTATGGACTCTAATAAGTTAGAAATGGCCATTCCAGTCTCCCTTGTCTTTGTCGGTTATGCTATTCTGCCTATACATCATGCGCCGCTGTGCGGCTGCTGGTCGGTCTCGAGAGAGAGTCCATAAGGCACAACGGAACGAGTGAGTTCCGTATGAACTATATGTGAGCGCCCACTAACTTTATATATATATATATATATATATATATATATTCACTCAGGAATGGGCGCACACCGATCCATTGGCTTATCGAAGCAAACAAGCTTCGCATGGGAGATAGGGGTCACGAACAGGCAACCACCTACCAGGCCGAATTCGGCCAAGCAATGATAGCAGAGCGGATACGACAGAGTCTGGGGGTATATTGATACAGCACTGTTTCGGGCTTGTTTGCCTTCATTCAGCCAATCATAACCCTGACCACCAGCTGGGACCGGAAACACAAACATGCGCACAGACGCACCTGGCGCAGCTGGTCCACCACTTGGGTCTACCAGATGGGTCATAAGCACTTCATCGAAACTAAGTTCATCAGTGCCTCGCCACCTGCCATTCTCTGTCGCTGCAGATCGGGTATTTATTCACTCATGAATGGGCGCACACCGATCCATTGGCTTCTCGAAGCTTGTTTGCTCCGCTCTGATTTATATATATATATATATATATATTTCATATTAGGATGTACAAGCAAATTCTGAAAGTACTTGGGCGTATCTGTTGAAGTTCTTTATATAGACGGCAAAGCTTTTGACTGTGAAGCTCTGCATTAATTGTCTGGAGGACGCTTGTACTCAATAACGCCCGCCCTACCCCCTAAGTACTCTCATGGAAAATGTCCACGTCATGTATTACGATTTATTGTACGGCATTTGCGGGAACTGATGCGCCGGTCGATAGGTGCGAGCTAATAATATGGGACCGGAACCACTCAGTCGAGGACGGAGTCGATACTGGAAGCTGGAGCTCCTATCCATTTGACAAATATCCTATCTTGTCTCGAGCTTCTAGTTCATGTGGCGGACGCTTATGTAGGGCCGTTCTAAGTATTTCTCAAATTTGGCATTTACGACATCTGCGTAAAATCCCCTCGTTTATCTTTAC